TATGTATGTTTCTCACACTGTGATAAAACAATGGCACCTAGAGCCATCAAATTTTAGATAACATACATTTCCATCCCAATATGGGCATCTGGAAGCCCAATTTGGAATTTGTATTATTATATATTTCATATCTTGTAAAACTTAAATGAATTCTTTTATTAACAAACTCAACGATTTTAAAGCAAGCAATGGACACTGTACCAAAAAAAAAAAAAAAAAAAAAAAAAAAACATTTTTAACTTCAGCATGCGTAACTCAGCATGTAACTTTGTATCGGAAATTCTAAAGATATGTTCATTTTAAAATTATTTTGAGATATTGTTGTTGAACTGAATTTTATGGTTTAAGTGCAAAGAACATGATATTTGATAAATAAAGGTAAAATACAAAACGTTAAAAAAAAAAAAATTCCCTTTGGGCATAATGTAAAATTTGAAAGAATTCAGATTTAAAAAAAAAAATTTTTTTTACTCTTTTTAAATTTTTTTCCTCAACTCCCACTTGGATAAAAAATTAATATATGAGCTCAGAAAGTTTGAAAAGAGCCTTTGTCAGCCATTGCAGATTGGCCACTTTATTTCTCTCTGTAACTGAATATCATAACTGGCTTTAGCTTCTCTAGCCAGCATCGTCTAACTGAAAGACAAAGGCCTAAGCCACAGGTTAGGATGTATGTGTTACTTATTTACTTTAGTGTTACTTTGTATTTAATATTTAAATTTTACTTAAAGAACATTTGTTTTGAATTTCCTGCAAGCTGTAGAGGTTTTCTATTACATTAATTTTGGCATAACTATCAGGCTGATGTATTAATAAAAAGTTTGATATTAAATCTTTATGTGAGTTTGTATTACTGTAATTTAGAACTAAAATGGGGCAATAAATTGTTTGCCTTTATGTCCGACATTTAAAGTAATCATACAAGTTTATAAGCACCATCTAGAAAGTGTGACTGACAATTTATTCTAACGAAAAAATTTTTTCTAAAATCACTTTGCGTCATCAGCAAATGAAAAGAAAAACGGTAATGTTTTGAAAAAAAAAAAACTTTGAAGATGCTAAATTTTAGGTTTCAATAGTGGATGAGAGTATTCATGTTATAAATACATATGAACTTGCCATTTTTTCACAGCTACTGATAAAGACTATAAGAAAAGGCTTCTTTGCTGGTACTAAGGTATGTGACTGAATATCTTGGTTTCCAGAAGCAGCAAAAATTACCATTAAAGCAACTTTCTTTAATCACTGCTAACATGCAGGTGAATTAAAAAAAAAAAAAAAAAAAAAAAAACTTTTTTTTTTTTTTTCTTAATCTTTTAATTGCACTGAAGAAGTGAAAGTATTCATTTCATAATTCATTCCCAAACCCAAGAGATTTCATCACTAAAAGCAATTACTTTATCATGTTTGATACCGCTTAATTCCCTCAATGTTGGCTAAAATTTGTTGCTTGAATATAGCCTTGAGTTCAAATGTGAAAATCTGAGATTTCCAAATCAACCATATTGACTAATATTTCATTTTAAAAGAACTGATTGTTCTTACATCAAAAGATAGGACTTGAATGACTCAAAGTTTGACATGAAATGGCAATTTTCAAATTTGGGAAATCATCATTTGTCAGATAAGACATAAATTTTTAAATTTTTAAACTTAATAAGAATTTTTCTTGAAAATCAAAAATTCCAAAATATTAAAAAAAGAAAAAATCTTAGAAACCCAAATTTGAGATTTTTCTTGTGAATTTTAATTTTTGTTACAGGATTCTAGAGCATAGTAGCTATCTATAACCAATATTTTCCTTTATCTCTTAACAAACAAAAATCAGTATTACTATTTAGAAAATATAGCAGTTTTACAAATAGTAACCTCATTATGTTTTCTTAGAAGTACAGATGAAAATGTCACTTTACATACATGTACCATATTTGCTCACATATTCCCCTCTTTCTTTTACTAATTTTATCATATGAAAATCAAGAGAGGAAATTATGCAAATAATTTAATTTCCAAAGGATGGAGTTACAATAAGAACACAGCTAATGAAAAGTATTTATTGATATATTATCGGTATCTATAATAATATTATTTACAAAAAAAAAAAAAAAAAAAAAAAATTAAAAACTATTTTAAACAGAACATATGTATGTAATCTTTATAAGTTTTGAAGGACTGTGGATTAACAGATTACCAATGCTGTAGTAGTCTGAATTGGAGTTCCGCAGAATTTTTGGGGTAAAAAGGAGTTGAAGCTGGAGTCGCTAAAAACAGGTCGACTCCAGTTTTTGTTGGACAGTTTGAATTTGAAATGAAATTAAAAATGAATTGAAAAAAAATAATGACAAACTGAGTTATTATTTTTATTTATGGACTATATATATTAATAAATAGTTACTTTCTATTTTATTGACATATTAATAAATAAATATAAGGGAGGAGGAAGGATGTGATATTTGCCATTAGTGATTAAACTGATTCATTTAGTTAAAAATTTCACTGGTAAATTTAGGTAAGCAGCAAGAACTTCCAAAATTGATGCTATTCTTAGGAAGCGAGCAAGAAAAGGAGCAATTATTGATCAAGCAAAACGATAAGGAAGTACATATTTAATGATAAAGAGGTTGTTAGAACTAAGAACTTTTTTAGAAGATGTAGATAACCCTAAACCCTAATGATTCACTAACAGAATGACTGTTGAATGATCTTGCAGAATTGGAAACTCTTCTTTCTACACTGTCTACAGCCACAAAAAAGCTGCAATCTGATGATTTGACAGGAGGCAAGAATGGAAGAATGCGATGTTTGTTCTTTCTGAAATGGAGGGTTTATTGCAGAAGGAATCATTTCTTCACTGAAGAAATCAGAAACTAGTTTGCTAGACAATGAGATCTTGCTGGGTTCAATATATGTAGATCCAAAACACTGAATTTTCTTGAATGATGAACAAATTAAAAGGGCAAAGAAAGCCATCTATGAACTTTCATGAAGAATGAAATTACTCTCAGAACAATTGGAGAGTTCGAATCAGGACAGCCAAACTGCAGACATTGCAACTGAGTTTCTACCATCCTCTTTCGGTGATGAATTAGATTTTGAGAAATATTTTTGGGTAATATTGAAAAGGCTAAGGCAAAATGAATGAAAATAAAGAACCAAGAGCCTTTAGATATAAAAATGAAAAAAATACAAACAAGATTTCTACACGGCCTTTGAAGAAACAGAACGCTTGCAAGATACCTCTTATAGAACTTATAAAAATCTATCCTGAAGATTAAAAAGAAGTAGCCCTAACAGTAACAGTTCTTCTCCTACTCAAATTAGTGTGGAAAGACTCTTCTCAGCTCTGAAGTTTATCAAATTGGATCTATGGCCCTCCAACAAAGAAGATCTTGCCGAAGCTATACTATTTCTTAGAAATAACTAATGCCAGTTTTTCCATTTTATAATAAATGCTAATTAATATAAATAGTTTGCTATGCCATCAATTTTTTTTCTATAGCATCTATTACTTCTTTTATATTAAAAAAATTAGCTGTAATCCATGCGTATATGTTTACTGACGATACTCAGAGGGTGTTTTTTTTTTAAACTGAGGGTACTCAGAGACCTCTGTAGCTTGAACTATCAGCTGTTTTGTACAGGGACTATTGACGACATGGGAAAAAGGAATCTGTGAAAAAACAATTTGCAATTTAGTTCCAAAACTTGCCGATAGGGGGAATATGACACTTTTGATCTAAATTTTAAGTTTAACTGCACAATAAAATTTCTGACCACTTTAAAAAGTTACTGTAAACTGATAAATGAATAACAAAAGAATTAATTTTTTCACAAATGTGCTTTATTCTAAAAAATAACTTCTGTAAATGGTTGCAAATTATAAAAAAAAAAAAAAAAAAAAGAGAACATTCTATTCGACTTCCTTTTTATTCTTTGCTCCTTTGTTTTTATTCAACAGAATTGTTTTGGCGGGGAAGACATCGGCTATTTTCAATATGACCTCCATTTTTTGGACTAAGCACTGCATTCTGTTCACTGTACTCTCTACAGTTGAATGGAACTCAAAATACTGTTGCTAGTGTCGACTACGTAATCGGGATTTTGCATTTTGCAATTTTTTCCTGTGTTTTATGCAAAATTTTAGTTATTTTAAAGTGTAAAGTACCACATGTTCTCCTATCGGCAAATTTTGGAGCTAATATTTTTTTCCCCACAGATTCCTTTTTCCCACGTCGTCAATAGTCCCTGTACAAATTTTCGTTATAAACTGACAGTACTCAGAGACCTGTATAGCTAAAAAAAACACCCTGTATATATTTCAGGAGTCGGAGTCAGTCATTTTCCCTATCGACTCCACAACCCTGCATAAGATATCTTCATTTTTGCTTCCCTATACTTTGAATCTCGCTGATTCTTATTGTTATCCACAGCTACTTCACAGGCCTTAAAACATTCAGTAGTGGTAGAACTGAGGTGTCCACTACAACTTGCAAATAATCGCCATAAACACCATTGTGTCTTTGTCACTCTTTCAGTTTGTCTTTTCTCATGCTAAGATTTCAAAACTAACAAACACATTTCACATCCCTGAATTTTTGCAGCTCTTTACTATAAATACACCATCAGTCAGGGCTTATGTACCCAAAATCCATTAGCAAATCAGTTAGTAAGATGAAAGCCACCATCACCTGAATGAATTCATTTTAACATTATATCTAGGGACAAGACGTGACAACTGGAAAATTTCCCTTATAAGAAATCAAAGTATTTTGTAGTGAACAAAAAAAAAAAAAAAAAATCAGGATGTTCATACAAAATCTCATCAATATGAGTCTTTAAATTCACGCATGCAAATGTTTATTTCTAAGAACTGAGCTCTTATTATGAATATGATATTAAAAAATAATTTGATATAAGAGAAAATGAAGGAAAGAAAGGCAATTATTTTAATTAGTTTAATCAAATTACGTTGGTCAAACAGATTTAAAAATAGGACATACCTAGCAGATTTAATTTTTCGGGCTTAACAGTGTCTTCTGTTTCAAATTCATAATTCTGAACTTCACCTGTTAATGTAAAAAATATAACAGTATTTACCAAAATGAACATTAAAAGAATTAAGTTTTTAGAATACCATTATTATTAGAAACATCAATTAAATTTTGAAACATCTATTGCTATTTAAATTGAAAAAGAAAATATTCCTGCATATAATTTAAAGAGTTCATCCAATAATAATACTTGCCAAGTAGATTCGAATATTAAACACTCGTAACTAATGCTAAAAAAAGTGCTAGTTAGCATAACAGCACCGAACATTAGTAATTTTCAGTAACTGAACAAGCTACTATATGAAGTTTTCATTTTATTACTATATTAGCAACATAAATACCTGACATTTCACATTAGGAATTCATTGATAAAGCCAATCCAGTGAATCTACGATAAACGTATCGGAAGAAAAAGAATTTCCTAGAAACAGAACTTATGGAAAATTCTGATAATATTATAAACAGGGTGCATAAAATCATAATTTTCCAAAAAAGGAATTTTTTTTTAAGTATATAAATTAGCCTTTTGTTTTAATTTTTTTTTCAAAAAACTTTAGTATATTGATTTAAAACAATATAAATTAATGCAGCAATTTCTAATTATACTAAGTATATTAAAATTTGCTATAGCTTATAAGCACCAGTTAAATAGATACACAATTTTTAGTGGCCACTAAAAATGAATATTATTCAAATATTTTTTTTGAATTATATTCATTCATTAATATAATTTTTAAAATGTTTTGAATTCTAGAAATTAATGATAATTTTAATTTTTTTAATATTTAACTAGTATTCTTTACCCACATCAATGAATATGAAAATGGTGCTCAGAAGATATTAATCCATGAAAGTTAAATAGTAAAAAATACTTGAATTTTTCTATGATTATATAAAAAAACTATGCATTTAATATCAGCAAAAATGCAATGTTGTTTTTAAATTTACTTTGTGATTGATAATTAATTATAATTTTACTAGCAAACAAACTTTAACAACAACCATATAATCTATTTGTGCTAACTTATCTATTGTTATTACCATTTTTCACAACAGACTCAGATTTATCTTCTTTTTTAACACATTGCTCACTTCCTTTATGAGATTTGTAGCATTCTACAGAGCAGCTAAGAAATTGAAAAAAGATATATAAATAAAAAAAAAAAAAAAAAAAAAGATATACATGATAATATAAAACTTTTCTTGATTGAGGAAAACTATGAAATGATTAAACAGCACTATTAATAATTTTTCCCACAAATATCAAGAAAAAAAAGAGATGTAAAAATTAAATATAATAAGGAAATAATTCTTTTGAAGCAGCATTTACTTTAAATTTAGCCAGAAATATAATATCAAAATGTTCAACATTTTCCTTTGGGCTTCTAAAATTTTTCTTTTCATTACAGCACATTCCTTTCACCATTTTATTACACCTTGTTTGCATTTTTTATTAGTTTTTTCCGCCACTCTTTCAACTTCCTTTCTTGCTTGCTCTCTAATTTCTCTTTGCTCTTCTAGATCAGTATTCCAACATGGTTGGTAGTTCGGCCTCTTGCTTCTCAGGATGTTCTTTTTGGTGCACTTTTGGAGCACTGAGGTAAAAGCTAATTCTGCTTGAAGCATCATTCGAAAAAGTGTTTACTTGATATTCCATATCTTCTGTGAAGGCCTTCCAATTGTCCTTTTTGAAGTTCCACATAATTCTTCGTTATTTCTTATCTGTTTTTGGTTGGTAGAAATTGTTTTTTTTACCATTTGGTGACTATTTCCTGGGTCCCCAATTACCGTTTTCTTGCAACAATCAATTAGGTTTGCTGAAACTATGGTTAAATCAGGGTTAGTAGAATTGCTTGAATATTGGATGAAGGTGTTAGGGTCATCTTTACTTATATAACTAACATTGCATTACTATCTACAAAATCCTCAATAATTTGCCCTACTTGGTTTTGGTAGGTGTATCCCCAGTTAGGGAAAGCAGCATTAAAATCACCTACAATTATAGTATTTCGATGAGGTATTAAAATGTCTAAATTTAAGTTTTTGTTTGGTGGACTGTATATTCCAAAAATTTTAAGAAGAATATTCTCATTTCAACATTACTCCCACAATTTCTGCAGTATCATGATTGTTAATTGTTTTCAACACCTCAAATGATGATGTCAATTTATTTTGCACTGCCACTAAAATACTACTCGCAATCTGTCTGCTTTTGAAAAGTCCAAGAATAGTGAAATTTTTCATATTATAATACTTTATTTTGTCTTCTGTAATATTTGCTTCTTGAAACCAGAACATCCAGGTTCTCCTCATTGACTACCCTCTTAATTTCTAAAACTTAAGTGCAGGATAGAAAAACAAAAGCTCTTTTCTCTGTTTGCTTTACTCTGAACTGCCTTAGCCATAACTGTTACTGAATTAGCACCACCCAGTAGGCACCTGTGAATTAAGGATATCACAGATGCAAGTAACATTACCTAATTAAAAATTTATCTAAGCACTTTTGCATAGCAACAAAACAAAAAATAAAATCCTAACCATCCAATACACTGTAGTGGGAAGGTGGAACTAATGACAATTAAAGCACAAACAAAAAAAAAAAAAAAGTATACATGAAAGTTATCAAAGTCATTGCCTCAAAAGTTTTCAACACGCCATTTCAGAGTCACCAAGAAGTACACCACTTTTGTATTTTTTCTTGCTATTAGAAATAATGAATAAAAATTTTAAAAAGAAGCTTTTTGCTTGCAGAATGTTTGGCAGTTAGGATTTTCATTTCTTTTTTTTTAACCAGCAGGGATTTGAGAAAGCTGAGTATCAAATGGCGACAATATTTCTGAGCCTAGTAATAATCTACAGGAGGTATGAAACATTTCAATATACTGTAAAGGCCCTTACTTTCGCGAAAATGAATATATCGGTGATTTCGCGAGTTGAAAATTTCGCAAATTTTATATGAATAGAACCAAAAGTTGAAAACTTTCAAAAGTACCCAAGTAAAGTTGAGAAAGTTGAAAAATTCCAGAAGTACATCTTTTGCATAAAGCATTTTAAGAAACTTCCTTTTGTCCGAAAAGTTTGTCCCCCCTCCCCTATCGCTCTTAAAACAACCCACGGTGCTTATCAACTTTTGACCTTGGCTCAAGGTGTGCATTCCCCTCCCCCTTTTGCACCGAAAGTGTAATCACCCCACCCCCTTCGCTTTTCTCGGAATCAGATCATTCATGCCCAACACCTGCTTAAACAAGTTGTTTCTAGCAGGAGCTCCGCAATGGAGGAATATCTCACCAAGTTGGCTTTTGCCAAATGTTCTGACAGATGAGAGACAAAAGTGGTGAGTGCAAGATAGAAAATTGAGAAGAAAATAAGTTATTAGTGGCGTAAAAAATGTGGAAATACTTGTACAAGTTGATGGACAAGAGAGAGGAAATTCTTATAGCAGCTCCAGTGCTGGCGGGGCTTCCGGATGCAAGAAATGCTAAATTGTTTGTTAAATCAAAAGAAATAATATCCGCTAATACTGGGAAAGCAAAACGTGGGCAGTATGCAGTATATGACAAAGTGCTGAGGTCCCAAATGGGCCGATATGCTACTATGAACGGAAATTCTGCAGCAGTGAAACATTTTACCTCTGAACTGGGAAGGCCGGGGAGTGAATCAACCATTCACAGTATAAAGAAACAATACATTCAAGCATCTAAACGAGCTAAAGCCGATGTAACAATTTTACCGCACAGTAATCATGGTCGCCCATTAAAACTTTGTGATTTTGATGTAAGCATTCAAACATATACAGTCAAAAGTCGTTAATTCGGACCTCAAAGGTAAAAACTTTCTGCGCATGCGCCGCGTTGACACATGCGCATAGGCGTTTACACGTGCGCGTAAGACCTCTTACGACTGCGCATTTGCGTGTGCGCAAGCGCAGAATACGTTTTCGCGTGCACGTTTAATGTATAACGGACAGTATAAGCTAAAATTATCTAATTATCTATTTCAGTTAATGTTGATGATTGCGTTGTTCCTTAATTTTCGAATTGGATCCGGCTTATTAGTTTTTGCAGACTGTAAGAGCAATACTATAAAAGTAAACTTGAACTTTCGATTATGTCAAATAGAATTTCCGATTCTGGAGCTCCCAAAGGATCGTACAAAACGAAAGTATGTTTCGATGTCCATCAAACAAAAAGTGGAATTGCTGCAAAAAATGGATAAAGACATGAAGAATGTGACAGAGAGGTTAGTGAAAATGAAAAAATTTTCGATTGACAAGTTAGTCGGTATTCTCGGCACAGCAATTAACGGGACTTGAACAGCGGAACTTTGTAACTGAACAAAAAATTATGTCTGTTTATAGAATTAACGAGAAAGTATTATCACATAAAACAAAGCAACTTAAACAACTTACATTGAAAGAAATGTTTAATAAAGTAAACAAATAAATATTAAGCTTTTGTTTGTAAATTTTGATACCCTTTAGATCATAATTGTTCTTTATTTCATAAATTATGGTTTCATATTTTTAATTTTAGAATTTCTGCATGCTATCTTACGTGATTTAAACTGATGATCTATAATCCGGAAAAATCAATAATTTGGAATTGCCGAAGTCCCGACGAGTCCGGATTAACGACTTTTGACTGTATACGTAAATTGCGAATTGCTGGTGGAATAGTGAACCGCACTATTGTTATTGCAGCTGCAAAAGGAATTGTGAAATCACATGATCCATCTCTACTAAACACTTTCGATTTGAACCCAAGATGGGCCAGAAGCCTGCTGGAAAGAATGAACTTTGTCCGTGGAAAGGGAACCAAGAATGTACGAAAACTGCCCCTAGACTTCCCAGCCATTCGCGATGAATTTGTTAAGCGTGTTTGTACAGTGATCGACAGAAATGTTGTTCCCCCTGAGATGTTCATTAACTTTGATTAGACAAACGCAAAGTGTGCCTACATCTAATTACACATTGGAAGAACATGGTTCAAAACAAGTGTCTGTAATCGGCATGGAAGATAAAAGAGAGATTAGTTTTGTTAGCATATTCCCTTGCTGGAAACCTACTTCCACCACAATTTATGTTCGCTGGAAAAACAACGAATTGTCATCCAAAGTTTACATTTCCCGCGGACTGGGACATGTGGCACACCAATTCGCACTGGAGAATAACTGACACAATGATTCAATACATCGAGAATATTCTTGTACCTTATTACGACAAGCAGAGAGAGCTTCTCGTGCTAGTTCCAGAACAACCTGGTATAGCATTGTTCGACGTTTTTAAGGCACACCAAGATCCTCTTTTTCTGACTGAACTAGAGAAGAGGAATATTATTCCAGTTTTTGTGCCCGCTTCCTGCACAGGAGAGCTCCAATATTTGGACTTAACTGTAAATGGGGAGTTCAAGCATTTGCTCAAGAATGAGTTTATTGAGTGGTATTCTAATGAGCTTCAGTTTCTAGAGGAAAAAGAATCTGTGGACTTGTGAATATCATGACTAAAACCAATTCACACTTCTTGGCTTGTGCACGTATTTAACAGTATTGAAGCCAAACATGAAATAATTTTGAATGGCTTCAAAGAAGCTGGTATAAATAGTATTCTAAATGAATGAACTGCCTTCTATTAATTTTATTGTTTTATATTTGAGAAATATAGTTGTATATTATTCAAAAAATAGTTATAACAAAGAAAGTTGTCAAGAAAAAGCTTGTAACTGTGCAATAAATCATTAAATTTTGGGTAAGTGAAAAATTTCTGATTTTTTATTATTATTTGAGGGGAGGGAAAGTATTTTGCGAGGCTTAAATTTTCACGATTACGACGGGCTCGCAAAAATTAAAGCCTCATGAAAATAAGAGCCTTTACAGTATTTAATAGCATACTTCTACTTCCTTAGCCCTTATAGTGGCCAAGAAAACCTGTCAAATAAGGTGGCTGCATTGAGTGTTTCTGAGATTTTTCCCATGTGTAATACGAATCAGATATGCCTACAAAGTCCTCCACGATGGCATATTTCCCTTGACAGATAAACCTTATACGCTTAATTAAATCAATGTAGAAGTGATTGTGAACCCCTTTCAATTCCGGGAAAAGATGTGCTAATATTTTTCTTTGTAAACAACTGAAAGTTCAGTAGAATCTGCAAGCCATTTTAATGAATACAATGATCTTTTATATTACATAATTAGCCCACTTTATATATGTCCCTTTCAAAATACATTTTTTAATGGATTAAATTTCTAGAATTCCTAATCATTTTTACATTCTCTGCACCAATAAAAATTAATTGCAGACATTTATCTTCAAGATTATCATCTGTGAAAATTACTGTACATACAATCATACTGTTCAAACGATTCAACACGGTGCATATAGATAGTTGATTACAAGTACATGCAATTTCTCAAATCTGTAAGTTTTAGATTTCGGAAACAAGAAAATCTGAAATTCAGGTTTTAACCATTGCTTTTTACAAGCAATGGTTAAAACAATGTACAGTCAAAAGTCGTTAATTCGGACACCCATAATCCGGAATGATCTATAATCAGGACCTCAAAGCTAAAAACTTTGTGCGCATGCGCCGCGCTGACACATGCGCATAGGCGTTTACGCGTGCGTGTAA